TGGTTTTTGGTTTTTGTTTTGTTTTGTTTTTGTTTTTTTAGTAGAGACAAGGTTTTTCCATGTTGGTCAGGCTGGTCTCAAACTCCTGACCTCAGGTGATCTGCCTGCCTCAGCCTCTTAAAGAGCTAGGATTACAGGTGTGAGCCACTGTGCCCGGCCAAAAGTAGGATTTTTAAAGGTTTTCTGAAATGTATATATTGCTTTCCTAATATCAAAAGAATTTAGTAAGCTTTACTAAAAAGAAGAGAAAACAAAAACAGCCGAATGCAGAGAAATTAGAAAACACCATCTTGATAAAAGAGATAGGCTAAAAGAGAGATGTAATTTTTATATAATTGTAAGATTGCTATTAAATATGCATCATTCATTCTTTCAGTTTCTTGGACACAGCATGAATTTGAGTTGGCTCAATGGGCCTTCCGGAAATGGAAGTCTCACCAGTTTACTTCATTACGGGACTTACTCTGGGGCAATGCCGTGTACCTAAAGGAGGCCAATGCCATCAGCGTGGAACTGAAAAAGAAGGTATGGAGCAGGAGAACACAGGAGATCTGGAGGCAAAGCTGAGCCTGCTGTGGGCGCATCTGGGCTCTCACCTTGAACTAACCTTTGCTTTGGGGGCACTCAGCTCCTTTGTGCTGTAAAACAGCTTTGTATATGTCTTTATTTAATATATGTGCCTGGAACATAGTAGGTACTAAATTTTTGTTAAATAAAATTGAAAAAAACAAAAAAAAAACAAAAAAACAGATGTTTTCTAGCTTATTTTACAAGTAAAGAGACTGTATTCCCAACAAGAACTGGAGAAACATAGTAGTAGAAAAATGCTTCTCTTGGGTTTCTGAATAATTTTAATTTTCTTCTGCTTTTCTACCGCTAAGTTTGCACCTCTAAGTTTGGTATGCCCCTTTGCCACTGATCTGCTCCTCCTCTAGGGTCTGAGAGGCACTGTTGTGTAGTGGACAATCACGTGCACCCTGGACCCAGACAGTCCAGGTTCCAGCCCCAGCTCCACGAGTGGTGTTGACCCCAGAGACCCTGTGCCTCCATTCCCCATCTACATAATGGGATTGGCAACAATACCTGGCACCAAAGGATTTTGTGAGGAATGAAAGTGGGCATATGCATAAAGCACTTAAAATAGTGCCTGGCATGGTAAAAGGCAATAAATGTTACTCAATTTTGTAAGTATTACCAAAACTTCACACCAAACCGTAGATTCCGTCTTCTGTATGCCCCACTGTTTATCAGTTTCTTCACTGCTAAGATTACAGTAGAAGACCATATTGTGTACTAGGTAAGAGCACAGACTACCTGACTTTGGGGAAATTAATTATCTTCTCATAGAACTAAATTATAGTTCTAGGGAATAAGATCTTCGTTCATACTCTCGGCAGCCTTTCTCATTTTATAATTATTTATTAACCACTCCTCTCCACAAGTAGACTAAAGGCAGTAACTGTCATTTTTTCTTACTGCTATGCATAGCATTTAATATTAAATAATAATTTGTTTAATAATAATTTCTTGGTGAAAATATAGGTGGTAGTGAGAAATAAATGACGCGATGTTGTGAAGCACTTGCCTTATAATAAACTCTTTTTTTTGAGACAGGATCTGGCTCTATCGCCCAGGCTAGAGTGTAGTGGCACAGTTACGGTTCATTGCAGCTTCCACATCCTGGGCTTAGTTTGTAGAGACAGGGTCTCACTGTGTTGCCTACGCTGGTTCCAAACTCCTGGGCTAAGCTTCGAAAGTGCTGGGATTATAGATGTGAACTTCGATGCCCAGCCTAAAAAAGGCTTTTTAGAGCAGTAGTTGTAACTCTCTGAATTTAAAATGTGAAACCTTGCTGTGTTTCCATCCTCTTTCATTAGTGAGGGATTAGATGTGCATTTTGTGGTCCACCTTTTGGTCTCTGGTATAAGTTCTATAAAAGGTTTCATTCAGTCAATCAAAATACATTTATCAAGATTTTAGCCCAGGCGTGGTGGTTTGCACCTGTGATCTTAGCCCTTTGGGAGGCCAAGGCTGGTGGATCTCAAACTCAGGAGTTCTAGACCAGCCTGGGCAACATGGTGAAATCCCATCTCTACAAAAAATACCAAAAATTAGCTGGGCTGGTAATACATGCCTGTAGTCCCAGGTACACAGGAGGCTGAGGTGGGAGGATCCCCTGAGCCTAGAAATGGAGGCTACAGTGATCTGTGTTTGCACCACTGCACCCAGCCTGACAGAGTGACAGAGTACAACCCTGTCCCTCTTGTGGCTCCCCCCAAAAAGATTTTAGTTTGAAGTTAGGGTTATTCCCTATGACTGCTAACAGGTGGCCATATTTTTCAGTTAGTCACAAGATATTTATTGAGCACATACAACACATTCGACCTCTTTCCCATTGGGCATGATTGTATCATCTCATCTCTGAAGCTTGCTTGATGAAAACCATTTGTCAATGGTTTCTTCTTTCCATTCAGGTGCAGTTTCAGTTTGTTCTGCTGACTGACACACTGTACTCCCCTTTGCCTCCTGAATTACTTCCTACTGAGATGGAAAAAACTCATGAGGACAGGCCTTTCCCTCGCACAGTGGTAGCAGTAGAAGTTCAGGATTTGAAGAATGGAGCAACACACTATTGGTCTTTGGAGAAACTCAAGTATGAAAACAGTCATAAAGGCTGATTGTTTTATTTAGGAAAAAACAATGACTTGCTTAAGTGGGCTCCCTCAAACTCTCCTCTCTGAGGACACCGTTGCTTACTTCCTTGTACTTTCTTTTTATTTGTTTTTCTTTTTTCACCCAAATCTCATTTTGAAACTTCCTTGTACTTTCTAAATGCTGTTGCTGGCCAATGATATTACCATCTGTTTTCTTTTAAGTGAATGAATTGTACTCCTCACACACCTCTGACATTTGTAGATATTTAAATTTACCCTCCGTAGACCCTCTTTTTAAATTTTAGATATTCCAATTTCATGATATTTCTATTTCAGATCTGGAACTTACTCATCTTTTCTATCCTGGACCTCAGGATGATCAATAATAAATACGGAAGTTATAGCTTCTTTTACATTTAAGATGAGATATTTCCCCATCTCAGTGTATTTAAGATGCCACGTACAGTTGACTTACAGTATTCCCCTTTGTGGCTTTTCACTCAGTAGAGGATAGGTGGCCATTCTTGACTTTTGATGGCTTATCTCTAGACTCAGACACTTGGGATACTAAGTGTTGGTTTCTGTACTTTTGGCCTTCATTCTTTTCAAATAACATTAAAGAGTGGGAGTAACTTTTTTTTTTTTTTTTTTTTTTAAAAAAACTTTTTTTTTTTTTTTTTTTTTTTTTTTTTTTTTTTTTTTTTTTTTTTTTTTTTTTTTTTTTTTTTTTTTTTTTGAAGAAAACCTTGCATGGAAGATGCTTCCAAAGTTTAGTGTAGTCTCATTATATTAACCCAGTGTGCTTTGTGTTTGCCAAATAGGCAGAGGCTGGATTTGATGCGAGAGATGTATGATAGGGCAGGGGAGATGGCCTCCGGTGCCCAAGACGAAAGCGAGACCACTGTGACTGGCAGCGATCCCTTCTATGATCGGTTCCACTGGTTCAAACTTGTGGGGAGGTATGTGATGATTTTGTTGATGTCTTCTTTTAAAAATAATGAATAGTTTTATTTTAAGTGTTTAAAACCTGAGCAGATACTATAAAAAGTTAAGAGGAAAAAAAAGAGTGTAAAAAGGCATCTGTAATCTTATATACTCACAACCACTGTGTCTTTTGGTTTATTTCCCGTCATTTATACTCAGTGGGCATATTTGTTTTGAGTCTCAAACTTTCAGCCAAAGTATTTGAGTCTTCCCTGACTTTAAACTTACAAAATGTTCTGCAACTGATAAAGATAAATTTAAAAGGAAAAGAAAACTTGTACACAATTTAAATTCATAGTATGGCTTTTCAGACACAATCTCTTCATGATCTAATTGTTCTTCCTTTTTTTTAAAAAAAAGTAATTCATCCCACTTTAGTCATTGCAAGGGTGAATTCATTGTACCTTGGTAGTCCCCTTCAGCCTCATTTTTTATACATTATTTTCAGCACTTAGTGAAAACACATAGTGCCTCTATGAGTCCATATTGAGTCAAGTTCTTAAAGGTTTCAGATTTTCAAAGCAGGGAAATTTAAGTTTTGAGCTTATGATTTCAGAATTTGAATTGCTTTTCAATTGCAAAAAAACCCTGTAATGGTTTTTAAAGAGGCTGGGTAAAAAGGAGTTGCTGAAGTCATAGTATGTTGTGCAAATGAAGTAAATCTTTTCCACTCTACTCTGATAGCAAAATAGTTTTTCAAAGAGATGAATTGGCCAAACACATCTTAACCTTAGCAAAGCACATGCTGCTCTGTCATATACCATTTCATCAATTTTGTTTTCTGCTCCAAGATGATGTCAGAATTTCAGTAAAGATTGAAAGCCTTCTTATTTCACTTTGATGTTGAGTGGGTTCTTTGAGGCCTAGGTGCTGATCTTTTATGGGAACTGGAGAATGTAAACGTGTCATAACACCATATTTACCTAGGATGGTCTACTCATGTGTTTCCTTTGCTTTTCTTATTCTAAGGATCAGTCCTTACGTAACTTTTTCAACCTGCCCCTGTTCCCTTTCACCTGACCCAAATAATTTATGCTTATTTTATCCTTTTGCTTTTCTATTTGCTTTTATTGTGTTGATTCCCCAGTGGATTCTGTCCTGTTGGCACCTATTGCTTCCTGTTTAACCAACTATTCCTCTCTCCCTGGCTGTGTTAATTGGCGTCTTACCTGGTGTCTAGCTCCCCCATTTTCCACGGCTGTGTGAATGAGCGCCTTGCCGACCGCACACCCTCCCCCACTTTTTCCACGGCCGATTCCGACATCACTGAGCTGGCTGACGAGCAGCAAGATGAGATGGAGGATTTTGATGATGAGGCATTCGTGGATGACGCCGGCTCTGACGCAGGGACGGAGGAGGGATCAGATCTCTTCAGTGATGGGCATGACCCGTTTTACGACCGATCCCCTTGGTTCATTTTAGTGGGAAGGTTGGTGAGGTTATTGTGAGAAAGGCAAAAAGGGACCAGCTCTTGCTCTGAAGGCCTCCCTGCCTGTGCAATTTTGGGTAACCTTGCATTAGCCAATTAAACTCCTGAATGCTCACTTCCAAGTTCTCCAATACTTCAAGCTCTTTATCAATGCTGATCTGGCTGAGAGAGTTCTCAGGCATTGTTGGTGAGGTCCTCAGTCTACTCAGCACATTATGCAGCAATATGTGAAGACTGCATGGAACACAACTTGTCTTAAATTGCCCAGTAATTTTGTTCTGAAGAAAGGAACCCCAAAGGAGAAAGTCAAACGTAAGAGTCAAACGTAGTGGGTTTAGCGAGTGATATTATGGTCTAGATGTTTCCTTTTCAAAGGAATGTGATTGAAAAGCATACAGAGATAACACAAGAGAGGGAGCAGAGCAAGGCCAAGGTTTGGCAGAAGAATCTGTGCTACTGCAGGAATCAGAGGACAAAAGTAGATTCAGGAGTAGAGTTAAATACATTTTTTGCTTAGTCTACTGAGTCCTAAAAAGAATCAGGAAAGTCAAGCTTCTCCTTTACCTAAAATGAATGCCTTTCTCTGGCCAGTTTCACTGAGCCTATCTGTAGATCTTTGGCATCTGCTAAAATTATAACCTGTAGGGTTTATAATGATACAGCTCAGAAAATCATCTGTTGACCCCATCAACGATGAATATTGGCCAGGCACGGTGGCTCACGCCTGTAATCCTAGCACTTTGGGAGGTTTAGGTGGGTGGATCACCTGAGGTCAGGAGTTCGAGACCAGCCTGACCCATGAAACCTGTCTCTACTAAAAATACAAAAATTAGGCCAGGTGTGGTGGCTCACGCCTGTAATCCCAGCAGTTCGGGAGGCTGAGGTAGGTGGATTACCTGAGGTTGGGAGTTTGAGACCAGCCTGCCCAACATGGCGAAGCCCTGTCTACTAAAAATAACAAAAGAATTAGGCAGACTTGGTGGGTACCTGTAGTCCCAGCTACTCAGGAGGCTGAGACAGGAGAATTGCTTGAACCCAGGAGGTGGAGGTTACAGTGAGCCAAGATCATGCCATTGCACTTCAGCCTGGGTGACAAAGTGAGACTCCATCTCAAAAAAAAAAAATATTTATTTGGTGCTATGTGAAACTACTTTATGTTAAGACTAGTTCACCAAACTGAGACATTGTCTCTGGCTCTCAGTTTGTGCATCCATCAGTGATGCAGAACTCTGTAGCACGTGTTCATAATACTGGTGTCTTTGTCCATATCCAGTCTTCATGCTGTGGTAATTTTAATTAGAAATTCAACAGTAGAGCACTCATTGGATTAACCAAACAGTATGCCCAGGTTTAAAAGTATTAAATTTAACTTTAATGGTACATTAGAACCACATATTGTTGCCGGGCGCAGTGGCTCACGCCTGTAATCCCAGCACTTTGGGAGGCCAAGGCGGGTGGATCACGAGGTCAAGAGATCGAGACCATCCTGGTCAACACGGTGAAACCCCGTCTGTACTAAAACTACAAAAAATTAGCTGGGCATGGTGGCACGCGCCTGTAATCCCAGCCACTCAGGAGGCTGAGGCAGGAGAATTGCCTGAACCCAGGAGGCGGAGGTTGTGGTGAGCCGAGATTGCGCCATTGCGCTCCAGCCTGGGTAACAAGAGCAAAACTCCATCTCAAAAAAAAAAAAAAAGAACCACATATTGTTGAATCCTTTATAAATAAGGGAATTATGTCAGTGTTAAATCGATAAGTACCAGTTATCTAAAAATTAAAGGACAGCAAGTCTCCTGACCTAGTAGAGACATAAGTTTTAAAACTTACCTCACCAGGTGCAGTGGCTCACATCTTAATCTCAGCAAATCTGGAGGGTGAGGCCAGGAGTTTGAGACCAGAGTGGGCAACATAGTGAGACCCTGTCTCTAAAAATTTAAAAAATAGGCTGGCTATGGTGGCTCATGCCTGTAATCCCAGCACTTTGGGAGGCTGAGGCGGGCAGATCTCGAGGTCAGGAGATCGAGATCATCCTGGCTAACACAGTCAAACCCTGTCTCTACTAAAAATATAAAAAATTAGTCGGACATGGTGGCACATACCTTTAATCCCAGCTACTTTGGAAGCTAAGGCGGGAGGATAACTTGAGCCCAAGAGTTTGTTGCTACAGTGAGCAATGATTGCACTGCTGCACTTCAACCTGTGGACAGAGCAAGACCCCAACTCTACCAAAAAATATAAAATGAAACAGAATTTATAGGCCGAGCACAGTGGCTCATGCCAGTAATCCCAGCACTTTGGGAGGCTGAGGCAAGTAGATCACAAGGTCAGGAGATTGAGACCATCCTGGCTAATATGGTGAAAACCTGTCTCTACTAAAATACAAAAAATTAGCTCGGCGTGGTGGCAGGTGCCTATAATCCCAGCTACTTGGGAGGCTGAGGTAGGGAGAATCACTTGAACCCAGAAGTTGGAAGTTGCAGTGAGCTGAGGTCATGCCATTGCACTCTAGCCTGGGCAACAGAGTGAGACTCTGTCTCAAAAAAAAAAAAAAAAAAGCCGGGCGCGGTGGCTCAAGCCTGTAATCCCAGCACTTTGGGAGGCCGAGGCGGGTGGATCACGAGGTCAAGAGATCGAGACCATCCTGGTCAACATGGTGAAACCCCGTCTCTACTAAAAATACAAAAAATTAGCTGGGCATGGTGGCACGCGCCTGTAATCCCAGCTACTCAGGAGGCTGAGGCAGGAGAATTGCCTGAACCCAGGAGGCGGAGGTTGCGGTGAGCCGAGATCGCGCCATTGCACTCCAGCCTGGGTAACAAGAAGCGAAACTCCGTCTCAAAAAAAAAAGAATTTATAATATGGTATTGGTCACATGGTCAGAACCTCATAACTGTTTTAGAAGATGATCACTGTTATGGAAAGGGGGAAAATAAAAACTTCTTTCATAGAAATGAAAGTCTCAAGCATAACTGTAGGTCATAATATTAGATAGTCTCTGGGTTTTCCAGTGGTGAAGGAGCATTTGGAATTCAGTTTTTCCATGAATAAACATAACAGGACTATGTGGCCATGAATATTGTTTTCTACTAGTATATCGCCATGAATAGATACTTAGAATTTCACAGAAGCTGATTTTTATGAAAATAGAGAAAGGTGTATACAGACAGTGGGACAGTAATGCTTGCTTTATTTGATGGCTGCCTGTGTGCTTCAGCACATTTTTATCCTATTCTAAGGGAGTTAGAAGTTAGAACCCAGTTTCTGGCCATAAACTTTTTTCCCAGTGCCAGTTACACAGCTTCTAAAACTGTTTATTTGTGTTCTTTACCACTGCAGTGAAGAGTAGGCAGCTTCATCTTACGTAACACGGTGAGGAGAAGCCTGACCTAATTGTCAGGAGAAGCCTTGGGTTTTAGACCATCTCTGTCACTAGGACAAGCAACTTAAACTGAAGCCTTTTGGGCTCTCAAGTGTAAAGCGAATGACAGGTAGAAATAAAGAGCCTTAAAGACATTTTTCAACTTTCATATCCTGTCATCTGCCCTAGTAAAAAAGATTATCCTGGGTAAGACTTCTAAGAAACATTTGTATTTTGAGCAAGTTGTATGGAAACTCAAGACAATCCCACTTACTGTGGAAATAAACTGACTTAAGATACATGTATTCTTTTCTCTCTAGTTTTATTTCTTTTAATCATATTAGATGTAAGTATAGGTATACAATCAATCAATTTCAATTTCCACATAAAATATTTATGGAGCTATGGCTCAGGAATTGACTTTTCCATTTGTTTAGGTTCCCAGGTTCTAACCTTGCAAGAAAGGACTGGGGGAGGAAGTGAAATCAGTAAATAGCAATTAGTAAAGTGAAGGATAATAACAATCAGTAAAGTGAAGGATAGCTTTCCATTTTTGCCCTTCACTACATTTCTCATTTACAAACAAAGTCTATAATAATGCAATATCACTCAGTTGTGTAGTGGTCATTGTATGTGTAAGGGAAGTAACTACTTTCCTGTTTTTGTGATTCACAATATTGGATTTCCCCTATTGGCATATAATTGCAAATATAATTCACTTGTAAAATTCTTAGTTTCTGGCCAGGCTTGGTGGCTCATGCCTGTAATCCCAGCACTTTGGGAGGCCCAGGTGGGCAGAGATCACGAGGTCAAGAGTTTGAGACCAGCCTGGCCAACATGGTGAAACCCCATCTGTACTAAGAATACAAACATTAGCAGGGCATGGTGACACATGCCTGTAATCCCAGCTGCTCAGGAGGCCAAGGCAGGAGAATCGCTTGAATCCTCGAGGTGGAGGTTGCAGTGAACCAAGATTGAGCTACTGCACTCGAGCCTGGGCAACAGAGCAAGACTCCATCTTCTGGGGCAGGGGAGTTTATTTTCTTGTGAAATTTCATTAGTAAGTTTATTTTTTAGCCATGACTGCTTCTGGTAAACATTCTGGTAAACATTCTGCCCCTGGTAACATTCTTTGTATTACAAGTGAAAAGAGCTTGTCCCTTTAGCTATTCTCTTAATGGCATGTTGGGATGTTATGAACCATCCATCATAATTTGGGATGAAATGTAAAATATTTAAGTTAGTCTTCTGGGTTAAAAGGGAGTAAAAGATGATTATTCTGTGACCTCTCTGTACCTTAACTGGCACTCTTTCTGTAAGTAGCACCATAATTTTGCTGATTTTTCTTATCTTTATGTTGACCATTTGTTTCCTTTTTTGATGTAACTTCATAGAACTTTCTGCTAACGTATCCTTTACATATCTCCCTCTCTCATCCCTGTTCTCCTTCAGTCTGCTAGGTCAAAGTATAAGGATTCTCAAAAATACAGAGTAATTATGAAAATTCTATTTAAAAAGCTTCAGAATATAATTTTTATATAGCATTGATTTGGAGCTAAGGACTATATTCTGGTAACGTGACAGGGAGCTGTCTAGTGAGTGTGTGATTATATAGTCATAGAGGTAAGATTCCTGCCATAGAATTATAGAATTCTCTAAAAAGGGAAATCTGTAATAATGCCTTCACTGTTCCCACACTGGGACTTGCCATTGCCATAGGCAGAAAGGCAGTCTTATCTTTAGTGTGTGTGTAAACAGTACTTTTGTGGAATGTGTGCATTAACATCATGAACTTCTTTTAAAAAAAAAAAAAAAAGTGGCGGTTGTTTTTGAGTTGGGGTCTTGCTTTGTCACCCAGGCTGGAGTGCAGTGGTGTGATCTCAGCTCACTACAGCCTCTGCCTCTTGGGTTCAAGCAGTTCTCTGACTCAGCCTCTGGAGTAGCCGGGATTACAGGCACCCACCACCATGCCCAACTAATTTTTGTGTTTTTAGTAGAGATGGGGTTTCACCATCTTGGCCAGGCTGGTCTTGAACTCCTGAACTTGTGATCCACCCGCCTCAGCCTCCCAAAGTGTTGGGATTACAGATGTGAGCCACCATGCCTGGCCCAAATAATTATTTTTAAGATAACAAATTAGATGTAGTTAGGAATCTAAATGTGTTCTATATAGTTAATATCCATTGTGAGATGGCCCTGAAAAATTAGCCTTGTTTAAGTTAGATGGCTTTACTTTTCTGCTTCTGGTATATCTTTAAGTAGAAGTGGAAGATTTTCCATTTTTCTGGAAACAGAACAGAACAGAAAAATGATTTGCCTTTTATATTTCAGTAGAAGTGGAAGATTTTGTTCACTTACCAAATATTTATAGAATGCTCCACCCTCTGCAGACAGTAGTGAGCAAAGCCAGACATGGTTCCTGCCCTCACAGACTTATAGTTTGATGGGTGACACAGACATAAATTAAATAATTGCACAAATAAATAAATGTAAATTATAGCAATGATGAAATAGTTGTGTCTGTTGCCAGAGATCACATAACGTTGGGAGACCTGTTATGAGAAAGAGGTGTTTAAAGTAAGACCTGAAGATGTGAAGAAACCAAAGGCAATGGGCCGGGCGTGGTGGCTCCCGCCTGTAATCCAAGCACATTGGGAAGCTGAGGTGGGTAGATCACCTGAGGTCAGGAGTTCAAGGCTAGCCTGGCCAACATAGTGAAACCCATCTCTACTAAAAATGCAAAAAATTAGCCAGGCGTGGTGGTGGGCACCTGTAATTCGAGGTACTCGGGAGGCTGAGGCAGGAGAATCACTTGAACCTGGGAGCTGGAGGTTGCCATGAGCCTGAGATAGTGCCGTTGCACTCCAGCCTGGACAAAAAGAGTAAAACTCCATCTCAAAAAAATTAAAAAGACACAAAAGGCATGAAGTGGGCAGCAAGTGCAGAGAAGACTCCAGGCAGGGGACATGTTCAATGGCTCTTTAATGGCCCAGGCCTTGAAATGGGCAAGTCTAGCTGGGGTACTCGTAATAGAGGAGAATGATCTGTGTATGTGTTGACTTTGAAAGTGAAATTATCCATTTGATACCTTATGCCAGATTCTTAGTCTTTTAAATTCTGTTGCAGTACTAGTTGTTTGACGGTCTTGTTTACAATCCTTTTTAGAAGACTTTTCATTCTTACATTTTTTTTTATACCAGAGCTTCAACTCTCTGTTTCTTAGCATTTCTCAGTCTCCTGCTTTGGAGCAGACTGAAAGGAAAATAGGCATTATTTCATCTGATTTAATGTTCATTTGTAGTTATTTTTGTTATATTTTTCATTCATATTTCATTTATGTTCTGAAGTCTTAACATTTGTTTTTCTGTGATGTATTAGTCTGTTTTCATAATTTTCATTACTTCAAGTTGAAATCCCAAATACCTACTACATCCTCCTCCTCTCTTTGTTTTTAAATAGATTTCAGAGCAGGAAAAGCATCCCATAAGCATGTGTGTCACTTGGTTTGGTTGGATTTATTGATGCAAGTGTCTACTTTGTCTTTTGTCTTATGTTGAAATATCAGCATATACCAAATGGAAAGACAGGAATAATAATAAGAACTAGGTTCTATTTGCCTTTCTAATTGGAATAAACACTCTTAAGCTTTGTGGCCACCAGTTTTTATCAGTTTTTTACAAAAGTAAGAGCTACAAAATAATGAAAGAAGAAAATACAAATGTGATAGGACTTTGCTAGTTTGCTTGAAATATAAAGTGTTAAAGCTATAATTTACCTTTTACTTATGCATTTCTGAATTAGGTTTTGAACTCTAGGAGCAAAAGCAAGCCCTTTAAGCATCAACTGTCATCTTCTCCCTTAACATTTATGTTGATGCCCAGTCAGAGTCTCCTCTAGGCTTAGAACTCAAAAATTTCTGGCTGCACAGCCTCTCTGCTTATATGTGGCTGCTGACCTCACCTTGTTAGTCACTCTGCCTAATTTAAAATAGTCCTTTTTAAATTATTTATTTATTTATTTATTTATTTTTTGAGACAGAGTCTCACCCTGTCACCCAGACTGGAAAACTGTGTGCAATTTCGGCTCACCACAACCTCCACCTCCCCGATTCTCCTTCCTCAGCTTCCCAAGTAGCTGGGACAACAGGTGCATGCCACCATGCCCGGCTAATTTTTATGTTTTTAGTAGAGACAGTGTTTCACCATGTTGGCCAAGCTGGTCTCGAACTCCTGACCTCAGGTGATCTGCCTGCCTCAGCCTCCCAAAAAGCTGGGATTACAGGCCTGAGCTACCATACCCAGCCAATAATAGTCTTTGTGATGGAGTCTTGCTCTGTAGCCTAGGCACAGATCTCAGCTCACTGCAACCTCCACCTCCCGGGTCCCGGTTCAAGCAATTCTCCTACCTCAGCCTCCCAAGTAACTAGGATTATAGGCACAAGCCACCATGCCCAGCTAATTTTTGTATTTTTTAGTAGAGATGGGGTTTCACCATGTTGGCCAGTCTGGTCTTGAACTCCTGACCTCGTGATCCACCCGCCTCGGCCTCCCAAAGTGCTGGGATTACAGGCATGAGCCACCGCACTCAGCCAATAGTCATTTCTTAAAATAACAATAAAGACCCATAATGCTGTGACAAGGAATTTATTTTAGAGTTATTAACTGTATTTTGGCCCATTTCCCTTTCCTTTTTTGTCTCCTGGTTTCTGTTTTACCTATTGGGAAAAAGGAAACTTTTTATAGTCTCTTAAATTAAAAGGTTAAGCTCTTTAATGAGCTCCTCCTCAAACCTGTCCCTAGCTGCATTCATAGAGCAGTATCTTGAAAGTCTGCTTCCAGTTGTTACTCTTCTCCCTACAGTAGTTAAGTTTTAGAGCGTGATTTGGTGTGTGTTGGTCTTGGTCAGCAGCTCTGCCAAGCATTTGCATTTGTTCATTCATTATCTGTGCTGAAAAGGCAGCTGGAGGCAAATCTCAGAGGATAGGACTGAGAAGCGGTCTTAAGACAATGCCAGGAGTCAGCTTACAGTTGCAGGAAGATGTTCTGAGTGAATCTGAAAGCCAGCTTCTCTCTCCATGGGATGCTCTGATATTTGTCTCCTGGTTTTTGTCTCTAGGGCATTTGTTTACCTGAGCAATCTGCTGTATCCCGTGCCCCTGATCCACAGGGTGGCCATTGTCAGTGAGAAGGGTGAAGTGCGCGGATTTCTGCGTGTGGCTGTACAGGCCATCGCAGGTAGGTGACCCTCTTCTGAAATGAGAGCTGTGAGTTCTTTGTCTAGAGACAAAGCAAGCAAACTCTGTGTGGGTCACGCTTATATTACACATACAAACTGTGAGGATCTTGTCTTCTTTGGAGAGAACCTTCTTTGCTCCTTTGTAGCAGTTGTTCCCAAGTATCATAAATAGATCCTGCTTAGCCCATACTACTGCTGTTTTGGAATAATGAGGTAAAGAGATTTCCTTTAGCATGTTAAAGATCAGCTCTTGCATTAATTATATAAAAGTCATTGCCCTTTTTTTATTTTGAGACAAGGTCTCACTTTGTCGCCCAGGCTGGAGTGAAATGGTGCATGCTTCACCTCCAGGCTCAGCCATCCTCCCACCTCAGCCACCTGAGTAGCTGGGACTACCAAGCACACACCACCATGCCCAGCTAATTTTTAAGTTTTTTGTAGAGTTGGCGTCTCATTCTGTTGCCCAGTATAGTCTCAAACTCCTGAGCTCAAGTGATCTTCCTGCCCTAGCCTCCCAGAGTGCTGGGATTACAGGTGTGGGACATTGCACTCGGCCAGTCATTGGCCTTTTGTTTTGTTTTATTTCATTTTGGTTTTTTGAAACGTAGTCTTGCTCTGTTGCCCAGGCTGGAGTGCAGTAGCACGATCTTGGCTCACTGTACCCTCTGCCCCCTGGGTTTAAGCAATCTGCTGCCTCACCCTCCAGAGTAGCTGGGACTACAGACACCCACCGCCATGCCCAGCTAATTTGGTATTTTTAGTAGAGATGGGGTTTCTCCACGTTGGTCAGGCTGGTCTCAAACTCCTGACCTCAGGTGATCCACCTGCCTCAGCCTCCCAAACTTTGTGCTGGGATTACAGGTGTGAGCCAATGCTCCTGGCCCGTTTTGTTTTGTTTTGTTTTGAAATTGAGTCTCGCTCTATTGCCCAGGCTACAGCACAGTGATGCAATCTCGATTTACGTCAATCTCCACCTCCTGAGTTCAAGTGATTCTCATGCCTCAGCCTCCCAAGTAGCTGGGATTATAGGCACCTGCCACCAAACTCAGCTAATTTTTGTATTTTTATTAGACGTGGGGTTTCACTATGTTGGCCAGGCTGGTCTCAAACTCCTGACCTCAAATGATCGGCCCACCTCAGCCTCCCAAAGTGTTGGGATTACAGGTGTGAGCTACCCACACCTGGCCTGGCCTAAATAATGTATCTTGATAAACTGTTTCATTAGTAACAAAGAATTTTTAGGCCTTTGTCTTGCTTTGTTTTTTTTCCTCAGGGTACTTATAATAGACATTTGTTTGGCTGCTGTTTTGTAATGCCTGGGTCAAGTTGATATAAGCTGGGTGTGGTGGCTCGAGCCTGTAGTCCCAGCTACTTGGTAGGCTGAGGCAGGATTGCTTAAGCCCAGGAATTTGAGGCCAACCTGGGCAACATAATGAGATCCCCATCTCTTAAAAAAAAAAAATTGAAAACAAAGATTTTAGTATTTTCCATTTTTCTATGATCCAGCCTGTTCTGAGGAAAAAATGTGGTCATTTTCTGTAATCTTTCTGTCTTAATTCTCAAATACTGTGCTGTGTCCAGTGACCTTTCAGCCTTTCCTCCATGGAAACCTATGACACAATCACCAGTGTTGAGTATGTAGAAGTTTCCTTTATAAGTACAATATAATATTTTCAAATACTTCTTGGGTATTATTGACTATTGCCAGCATGGAAGGAGTCAGTATTTCTAGGTATGACATTTGAACAATCATAAGAATAAAGGCGATTCTTTGTTGACCAGTCTTATTTGAACTGAGGGAGTTGGATAAATCTATATGAATAGAGCGTGAAGCAGCCCGTGCAGTTTTATTACTTTGGTATCATTTTCTCATGCAAAAGGATTTTATTTTATAATCCAGTAAGAGCCTTTTCCCTTCCTCCCCCTGTGTAGTCTCACTCAATTCTTGCTAATTTTTTTTCTGCTTCAGCGGATGAAGAAGCTCCTGATTATGGTTCTGGAATTCGACAGTCAGGAACAGCTAAAATATCTTTTGATAATGAATACTTTAATCAGGTGAGAAACCATCAGGAAGAAGGAAAACCCTGTGGAAAGAGAAAGAAGTAGAATGAATTTAGGAGGAAAACATTCAGCATTGGAGATCAGTTCCCCTACAAAACTGAAAAATATGTAGGGTGTTGGTTGCCAGAGAGTAGTTGCATAAAATATGGAACATGCCTAACAATTATGAAGGTAAAGGTGTACAGACCCAATATTCATATTTTATTCGTTGCCTTTCCTCAGACAGTGCTCAGTCCATATAATTTTCCAATCACTGTTTATTTGTTGAGCAGATGACAGAAGTAAGGCAACTGGGGGAAAATATGTATTTGTACTACTTTATCATGTACCTGCTCCTGCCTTGTTTTCAGAGTGACTTTTCATCTGTTGCAATGACTCGTTCTGGTCTATCCTTGGAGGAGTTGAGGATTGTGGAAGGACAGGGTCAGAGTTCTGAGGTTATCAGTCCTCCAGAAGAAGTCAATCGAATGAATGACCTGGGTATGTCGAGAGAGTTTACTGTGCTTGGGGACATATTCAACAAAGGGAAAATACCATTATCAAGGGACATAGTGACCTTCATCAACTAGGAATGGAAAGAATGCCCAATTCCCTCCTCTGCATTATTTGAACCATCTGTGTGTTCATTTGACCCTCTTTAGATTTGAAGTCAAGCACTTTGCTGGATGGTAAGATGGTAATGGAAGGGTTTTCTGAAGAGATTGGCAACCACCTGAAACTGGGCAGTGCCTTCACTTTCCGAGTAACAGTGTTGCAGGCCAGTGGAATTCTCCCAGAGTATGCAGATATCTTCTGTCAGTTCAAGTAAGCTGCCCCTTTGCTCTGCCTCCCAGCTAGCTGCTAACCAAGGTGACATCTTTTGTGCACTGCAGAGTGCTTTATGGGTGTGAGGGATTAACCCTCTTGAGAAAAAGACTAACCAGTCTCTGAAGGAAAACGCTTTCATCACTCCGATGGGAGTGAGAACTGGAAACCTGTCCTGGAATGCAACAGGGTTCCCTGGTGAGAGGAGCATGCCACATGTCCTATTACAGGGGTCTGCTGTGGATGGACCCCCTTTACCAGGAATGGAGGGTCTGATCAGATAAGCCTGTTGATGAGTCTGTCTAGTTCTCTTCATGTTGAAAAGTGTTATTAATAAGTCTGAAAACAATGACTTATCTAGCCACCAGTTATGCCTATTTAATACTTGGGGAAAAGGCAAATTTAAACAGTTTAAAGAAGGATAAATTCTATGTCAACTGATAAAAGCTAGTATATAGAGAAGATGTGACACTTCTCATTTCTCATCTTTGTCGGACTTGTTCTGCCCTACAGCCCTCTCAGACCCAGTGCTCTGGATGCTTTCTTCTCAAGACTGCCCCAGGAAAACAGTTTTTTGGGAATCTTTTTTTTTTTAATTGTACTTTAGGTTCTGGGGTACATGTGCAGATTTTTTTTTTGGAATCTTAAGTTTTAATACCTCCAAACTTCAGTATGTCTTTTCAGTACTTGGAAAGGGCCACAGTAGGAGATTGAAGTCTCACCCCTCCATACCTACAGCCCTTAGTTTGCCACTGGTGCCACCAAGAGGCTGCTTTGGGTTCTGCCATCCCTCTCCCCTCAGAATGTGCCTTGGCCTTCCCGAAGGTCCTAGTGCAGTTTGCAAAGCTTTTGTATAGGTTTTATCCCAGAAAATTGAGTTAAATGTGATCTGAATTAAATGTGATCACTATATAGTAAGCCACTAATATCATTTGCTACAACTCATAATTGTTGAAATATTACCCAATGAGCACTGATTGCACCTATTTAACGCGTTTTCACTCACACCCTCAAACTTAGGACAGGATAGTGTTGAGCAGATTAATCTGTTTTTTGGAACTGTCACTATTATTCTAATCAGGCAACTGATACTTTTTATGGAAAACATCTATTTGGTTAACTGATGTCTGAAGTGACAATAATAGTGAGTTGGCCTTTGTTCTAAAATCTCCTAAAAAGAGCAGCATCTCTGCCTGGTGTTAGCTCTGGAGGAAAGAGCATGTTGCTTGTATTGAAAGGAGCCTCAGGCCAGGCACAGTGGCTCACACCTATAATCATAGCCCTTTGGGAGGCTGAGGCTGGTGGATCACCTGAGGTCAGTTTCACCAGCCTGACCAACATGGTGAAACCCCATCTCTACTAAGAATACAGAAGTTAGCCGGGCATGGTGGCACATGCCTGTAATCCCAGCTACTCAGGAGGCTGAGGCAGGAGAATCGCTTGAATCTGAGAGACAGAGATAATCGCCTGAACCCAGTAGACAAAGGTTGCAGTGAGCCGAGATCATGCCATCACACTCCAGTCTGGGCAACAACAGCAACCGCAAAAAAGCCTCAAAGGCTTAGAGTCACTCCTCTGGCCTGTTCTGGGAAGGTATAGCTGCAGAGCACCGTGAATGTGAATGAGTTCACCTGTCGCCAGGGAACTCCAAGAGTGCTGCAGTGCCAGCAGTACAGGCATCAGGGATTTGGAGCACTTCGCAAAAGCATGCTAGTGTTCTCAGACATGGTGAACTAATTTGGACGACAAGTTCATACTACTGGTCTCTCTCGCTCCCCTCATTCAAAATATTTTCTTTTTCTCCATTTTTTCTTGACAGAAGTGGTATCCTTCTGATGGATTTTTCTGTCTGGCAGTAAATCTTTTTGTTGGGGGTCCTCTTTAACTGTGCAGTTCTTTTTATTTCAGACTAATAATAGAGAGAATCTCACTGTCTGAGAAGAACTAAATATAACCCATTGGTTCGACAGATTTTTCCAGAGTATCTTCTTGCATCGAGACCTGTGGGAAAACACTTGCTGTCTGGTGGGGAGAGAGGCATATAAATACATTATTACAGTGAAATCATTGCTATTAAGGAAAAATAGGTTACTAATAAAGTGGAACACAAAACTGTCAGAGTAAGTAAGGGAAGACTTCCTGGAAGAGGTGACATTTGAATCCACAACAGACTCTTAGGTTACTTATGCAGCCACAGGCTTTTGAACTAAGCTTGAGTCTGCCATATTTTTTCTATTTAAAATGACATTGTTTTTATTTTTTAGTAAAAAGCTTTTACAAAGGAAGAGGAGTTAATTGAATTTACTTTTCACTCTCTCTAAAGCATTCTTGCATATACATCCATATAGCTAAGTGATGAGGGTCAGTTAATTTTTCAGTCATTTTTGAAAGAAAATCTAAAATGCTCTCTGTGTGATAGGGAAAAGGTTCTTGACAAGGGAATGTAATTAAAGAATTGCTTAAGTGGAATGCTTCTTTCTCTAGGATCCAACTTGGGCTCTTAAAACAGATTCTGATAAAATCATTTAATGCAGCATTAACGAGTCTTTTTATTTTTTTTTTATGAAGCTTTTTGCATCGCCATGATGAAGCATTCTCCACAGAGCCCCTCAAAAACAATGGCAGAGGAAGTCCCCTGGGCTTTTATCATGTGCAAAATGTAAGTGATGTGGACATTTTTGCCAAACATAGATTTTCTGGTACCATGGCTTTCTCAGCCCAGGAAGGGTGATAAGAAGAGGTACAAGTCTCTGGCTGTGCAGGGGGAGAGTAGACAATAGAGGGCGTGGCTAGAGTGTGGACAATAGAGGGTGAGGTCATCCACAGTGGTCTGAGCAGCACGCCTTCTTGTCTCAATTACAATGGGCCTAGTGAGTGGAATGTGGGTTGGTCTGCCAATAAAATCTTCCATCAGTTTGAATGCAGTGAGTTGTTTTAGTGTTTCTGTCCTAGAAAAATAAGCATGCTTAATAAGAGTTTGTTAAAGTGAATGCATTCTCCTTTTAACTCTGATAGTTATGTTGGTTGACTGCAAATAACATAAAAAATATTAAATACCTTCTGTAGCTAAATTAAGATTTAGAGTCTGTTTTCCTTGCAACCGATAGTATGATTAACACTTTAATGCCCTTTATAACTGTCTTCCCACGTGGAGTAAGAAAACAGACCTTCCATCTTTAACATGAAATTTCACTCAAACTCTATTCCAAAGTCATCATCCTCATCACAATAGCTAACATTCACTAAGAGTTTATTTTGTGTTAGTCACTGTTTTGAGAGTTTTTGTGTAATTTAATTTTTACCTTTATACCAATGATTAGGATAATCCCTGTGTGAGCTGAGATAACTGAAGCATAGAGCAATTAAAGTCACTCATCAGGCCGGGAACTGTGGTTCACATCTCTAATCCCAGCACTCTGGGAGGCTGAGGCGGGTGGATCGCTTGAGGTCAGCAGTTTGTGACCACCCTGGCCAATATGGTGAAACCCTGTCTGAGGCATGAGAATCGCTTGAACCCAGGAGAGGGAGGGAGGTTGCAGTGAGTCTAGATTGTGCCACTGCACTCCAGCCTGGGCAACAAAGGGAAACTACATCTCAAAAAAAGAAAATAAATAAATAATAAAAATAAAGTTACTCATCAGTGTTACAAGAGGCAAAGTTGGGACATAAACCCAGAGAAATGTAGCTCTAGCATTCAGGATCTTCACTACTACATGAAACTGCTTCTCATTCTCTTGCTAACCCTGTTTGCTCTCTAAGAGAGGAAAGGAGAATTCCAAAGATGGAACAAACAAACGCAAAATATGCTATCTTCTTTTTCATGCTCGTATAAATATAAGCAAGCATGTATCTGATAAACTTTGATCAGCTGCTGTGCACAAGGATTGTGCCTGACAACTGGGAAATGCAGGTGAATCTCAGATGCTCCCAAGGAGCTTAGAATTATGATAAGGGAAATGAAATGCATATGTTAAAAGCAGGCGTGCAAGATGGACATGAGAAAATATTCACTAAATGAATGCAGTGGGAATGGAGTGGGAGTAGAAAAAGGGAAACTTTTTTTTTTTTTTATCTTGAGACGAAATCTCACTCTGTCGCCCATGCTGGAGTGCCGTGGCATGATCTTGGCTCACTGCAACCTCTACCTCCCAGGTTCAAGTGATTCTCCTGCCTCAGCCTCCTCAGTAGCTGGGATTATAGGCGCCCACCACCATACCCAGTGAATTTTTTATATTTTTAGTAGAGATTGGGTTTCACCATGTTAGCCAGGATGGTCTCGATCTCCTGACCTCCTGATGCCTGCCTTGGCCTCCCAAAGTGCTGGGATTGCAGGTGTGAGCCACCATGCCCAGCAAAAAAAATTTTTAATTAGCCAAGCATGGTGGTGCATGCCTATAGTCCTAGCTACTCAGAAGGCTGAGGCAGGAGGATTGCCTGAGCCCAGGAGGTTGAGGCCTCATGAGCTTTTTTCATGCCTCTGCATTCCAGCCTGGACTACAGAGCGAGACCTTGTCTCAAAAGAAAACCCCAAAAAATAATACTAAAGTTCTGATTGAAGCAAAATGTGTATTTTCTTAAAATCTTTTCCTAATCTTCCTTGGCTTTAGATCGCAGTGGAGGTCACTGAATCATTTGTGGATTATATCAAAACCAAGCCTATTGTATTTGAAGTCTTTGGGCATTACCAGCAGCACCCACTTCATCTGCAAGGACAGGAGCTTAACAGGTTTGGATCAGATGAACAAACATTTTTGATGATGTTTTGATTTTTAGTTTCTCGTTTGCTGGAAAGGAAGAAATCTTTTGAGGGATTAAGATAACTAAGTTTTCTATATATCCTTTTTCCTCTTTAGAAGTTTTACTGTCATCTTTTAGCCACCTAATCACTGACTTTAGATGGAGCAAATTGTATTTTGACCGGGTGACCTCAAATACCATATTTTTGTAGGAAGAGACTTTGAATATAGTAGAAATTTGAGGTAATAGGAATATAACATGAAAATTATATATAATTGTTCCTAATGCCCACAGCTTTATGCAACAGAAGCTCTAAGTACAGTCATCAAAACTGCTGAGGAAAGCAACAGTGGGGCCTTTGTGATGATGGCAGAATGTTGGTGTTGACAGGAGAATTTTCCTATTTCATTTATTAGCTAAGACTTAAAGGGAGACATTTTTAAAATGAGATTTAGCCTGTTTCACCATCTAGGATTATTTCTATTATCTGGCATTATGCCAGAGTTGAAAATGCAAAAGTCTGCTTCTCTAAAGGGAATTCAAACATGCTATTGATATAAACGTCCAAGTCTTTGTAGTCTTTTTCTTTCCCTTAAAAAAACAGAGTTTCTTGATTTCTACACTGCAAATAGTCATTACAAAAAGTTTTTCTTCTTTTACATAAATTCACACAAAGAGAAGTAGAAAGCGATGATAATGACCAGCAAGAGGAATGATAATTACTTTTATCTTAATGTCTGTGTGCCAGTTCTGTTTACATTAACATTGGAAAACTCCAACATGGAATCCAGAACCTCAAATCTGCAAGTGGAATGTCTTGAGATAGGCACATGGAAGTCAAAGTTTCTTTTTCCCCACTTTTAGGAGCTATACAGAAAAAGCTGTTTGCCCTCCGTACTGTCACAGAACTTTTACATACATTCTCACTCCTAGTTGTGAAAGGCCTAAAGAGAAGGAAATTCAATTTGCAGTCCAGCACAAAGAGCAGAATTTCTAAAATAAATAACTTTATAGTTTTGAGCTTTGTATTCCTTTCTTTGCAGTCCGCCTCAGCCGTGCCGCCGATTCTTTCCTCCACCCATGCCGCTGTCTAAGCCAGGTGAGCACTCGCTTCAGTTTCTGCATGATGATCTCTGTGTGAATACATTCTTATTCTGAATGACTTTTCAAATAGAAGTCGTGTTTGAATTCCTGTTCTTCTATGTATCCACACTTATTCCTGCCGCTCTTGTATATATCTAGTAGGAACTACAATTCCTAGTTCCTGATTTAAAATAATAAGTAAGGGCTGGGCGCAGTGGCTCACGCCTGTAATCCCAGCACTTTGGGAGGCCAAGGCAGGTGGATCACCTGAGGTCAGGAATTCGAGACCAGCCTGGCCAACCTAGTGAAACCCCATCTCTACTAAAAATACAAAAGTTAGCCAGGCATGGTGGCACACACTTGTAATCCTAGCCGTTTGGGAGGGTGAGTTAGGAGAATCACTTGAACTGGGGAGATGGAGGTTACAGTGAGCCAAGATCACAACATTGCACTCCAGCATGGGCAACAAGAGCAAAATTCTCAAAATAAAAAGTAAGAAACAGTACGGAGCCTTATCTACCAACTCTCTGATCTTCTATTTACAGATTTTGATAATCACTCTGTTCCTAAATCTTTGTGCTTTGTATATAACTTCCTATAACTGTCAGGTGACTAGGCATTTCTTTGCATAGAAAATTGATTCTTCATGTTCAATGATCTTATTTTGATTTTTCTTTGTTCACTTTTGTCCTTTTTCCTCACTGCCCATTCGCCCACTTCCCACCCCACCCTGTGCTGACTCTCCACCCTCTGTATTCCCCATCTTCATCTGCCTTCAGACCATGAGAGAAAGATTGAGCTGATTCGGTTTCTCGTGTCTGGCTATGTGAATGTGCATGTGTTGGACACATTTTCTGAGCACGCCAGCGTGCTTGCATCCTCCGCTATTGCCACCTTCCAGGATGAGGCTGACCCATTGCCGCCTTTTCTCTTTCTGCCAGTTCCCAGCTGCCAGAGTGAGAGGGTACCCAAACGAGATGGTTAGTAGCTGAATTAGCTCAACCTTAGATGTAGAACCAACCTCAGGCACTTTTCCTGAAGCCTGGCTCTTTGCATATGAAACACTGACATTTTGGTTTGCAACTTGAGCTGAGTATACAGTCCAGCATATTTTCAAGATTGTATCACATTTTCTTCCTAGAGATTTGGGAAGCACCTTCTCTACATGTCCCTCTTTCACATCACCATAGCAGCGGGGAGGTCCATGCATTTGTTTGTATGGATTCTTTGCAATAGTATTGTTAATTTTGAAGATTTTACTAGTAGTTGGTTTTGTTAGAATACTTCTGGTATTGCTTTCTGAGATGACTTCCAGGATTACTTACCCTGTTTTCTTTCTCACTAGCATCACCAACTCATGTGAAACTCAGCGGGGCTGAATACTGCTGATAGGGTACACATATGAATAGTGCTAAATAATTCATAAAGCCCCTTTATATACATTATGTTAGTGGATCTTCCTGATCGCTTTTCAAGATAGCAGGCTAAATATTATGATCTACAGTTTATAAATGAGGAGACAGACTCCCAGAGGTTAAACAGCTTAACTAAAGTCACATAGCATCAGTACAGTTGAGAATATGGATTTTAAATCTGGCCGGGTGTGGTGGCTTGCACCTGTAATCCCAGCAATTTGGAAGGTTGAGTCGAACAGATTGCTTGAGCTCAGGAGTTAAAGACCAGCCTGGGCAACATGGTGAAACCCTGTCTCTACAAAAAATGTAAAAATTAGCTGGGAGCAGTGGTACACACCTTTGGTCCCAGCTACTCAGGAGGCTAAAGGGGAGGATGGTTTGAGCCCAGGGGGCACAGGTTGTAGTGAGCCAAGATCACGCCATAAAAAAGAAAGAATATGGAATTTAAATCTGAAGAAAATGTGTAATATAAGATCATTTACAGATCCTGTATTTATAAATTAGACCAGTGGTTCCCAACTTTGTCCTCACATTGGTATCACCTGGGAAAATTTACACCTCATGGAGGAAGAACTGTGTCTTTCTCCTAGAGATTATGATTTAATTGATCTGGGGTGTGTCCTGGACTTTAAGGTCCCCAGGTGCTCCTATGTGCAGGGAGGTTTGGGAACCACTGGGGTGGAGGATGGGTCTTTTCTCTAGGACACCAGCTTTGATTGAGTCCCTGTGACGTGTGAGGCTTTCTAAGCGTTGTCTCTCCCACGTTAGTCCCATGCTCTGCATGCCACACAGTGTGAGATTCAGGAATGGGAAGGTTTTGTGAGCACATTCATTCTGCACAAAAGCTGTTTTCTCATCATTAGAGGCAGTTTGTTGATAGAAAAGATACTGATTCTTCATTTTCCTTGTTCTCTGAATTCAGCGATAACTAATAACTTACAAAGTTGATATTGGTATTTCTCTGAGTCTTTTGCATTGAAATCTTTCCTCTGACTCTTGCTGCCTTTCCCAAGTGTGTCATTAAAGACTGGTATTAGAGAAGCTTGTACTTTTGCTAGGTAGTCTTGGACCAGATTTTGACATATTCTAAAAACTTTTCAAAGTTCCAGCCACCAAGTTAAACACCATGAGCAAAACCAGCCTTGGCCAGAGCATGAGCAAGTATGACCTCCTGGTTTGGTTTGAGATCAGTGAACTGGAGTCTACAGGAGAGTAAGTCCAACTTAATAAACTTTTATATAAGAGAAAATGTTTCAAATTAGGAAATGTAATTTTGAGTCTTCTTGTATTTGGGTTAATTAGTGGTTGTCATTGTCAAATTCCAGAAATGATTCTGTTTTTGTTTAAATAGAGATGCAGTCTTGTTATGTTGAACAGGTGGGTCTTGACCACTCCTGCCCTCAAGCAGTCCTCCTGCCTCAGTCTCCCAAAGTGCTGAGATTACAGGCATAAGCCACCACACCTGGCCAAATTCCAGTTTTGAATTGATTTTTGGTGGTCTTGGTATTTGAATCAGGTGCTTATCAGAGAACTGACTGTTCAGCATAACAATTTGCCCTCTTGTTAGCAACAGTAAGATCATGGAGACTGGCATCTTTTTTTTTTTTTTTTTTTGAGACAGAGTCTTGCTCTGTTGCCCAGGCTGGAGTGCAATGGCATGACCTCACTGCAACCTCTGCCCCCCAGGTTCAAGTGATTCTCCTGTCTCAGTGTCCTGAGTAGCTGGGATTGCAGGTGTGTGCCTGTAATTTTTGTATTTTTAGTAGAGGTGGGGTTTCACCATGTTGGCCAGGCTGGTCTTGAACTCCTGACCTCAGGTGATCCACCCATCACAGCCTCCCAAAGTGCTGGGATTACAGGCGTGAGCCACCACACCCAGTGGTACCTTGTTACAAGGATTTTATCATAGTGGGTTTTAGCAGTAGTAAAACAAATGGAGCATATTGCATAGAATATGTTAAAGACTTAACATTACTAATGTCAGGGAGGACATAGAAGGGCAGAATATTTCCCTAGACTAGGGTTTCTCAATCTCAACACTGTTTGGAGCCGGATAATTCTCTGTTGTGAGGGGCTATCCTGTGCATTTAGAATATTTTGCAGCATCCCTGGCCCCTACCCACAAGATGCCAGTAGCAGCTCCACTCTATTTGTGACAACCAAAAATGTCTTCAGACATTGCCAAATATCCCCCAGGGAGCCATCCTCAGTTGAGAACCACTGTCCTGGATCAAAATGATACCATCAGCTTACTCTGTCTCCATGAGCTGAGTTAGAGTAAATTATTAATGTAATTATTGTGTAAAATTGTCTCTAAAAATGCTTTTAGAAAAACACAAATGAAATAGAACTTACTCTTAGGACAGAGCCAAGAGGCTGTACCAGTTAATGTAAAGGGTAGGGTAAATGTTATTGTAATGTTCCCCTATAAGTAATTCTGAGAACCACCATCATGATCATCATCAGGAAACACTTATTAAGTTCCTACTGTGTATAGGATACCATGTTAAGTGTGGTTCTGTCCATCTTGAATGTAGTTGTCAGTAGTGACAGTGCTTTGAGGAATTTGACTTTTCATAGACAGACCTATAATGTGATTACTAGTTGTATTATGAGGGAGACGTAGTTACAGTAATTGTTTCTACTGAATTAATTGCTTTCGGAATCTTAAAAAAAAACTATAGTCTGAAATTATCTGTGTTTCTTATATCTTGTCAATTACACTTCTGCATTATTTATTGGATACTCAATATCTAGGGGCTGGATGCCACCAAAAGATGTTACTGTCCCATGAGCACTCGGTCTAGTGAGGACTGAGACACAGATGTGTGGAAAGGATTAATAAATGCAGATGACTATATGATTAAATGCCAGCATGGGTGAGAAAGACATGGGATCAGAATTTAGAAAAACAAAGACCACCAGGGACTAACCCTTGCAGTTGAAGTAGCACTTAGTTCTTTCTTTTGCATTTCTATTTTTGTAGGTATATCCCAGCCGTGGTTGACCATACAGCAGGCTTGCCCTGCCAGGGGACATTTTTGCTTCATCAGGTACTAATGAGGGACCAAAATAGGCCTAGGAGGGAACAATTAAAAGAGTTTAGAATAAGAGA